GGAATGCGAGACCTTACCAGAGAAGCAGTGACACCAGAGATGGAGGCAGAGATGGGGACATGGAGAGAGGGAGCAGCTGAGGACTCTAGATTCATGGGAAGAGAGGGACTGAGAGCTGGCTGCCAGGAGGCAGACTTGTACAATGTGCCCTTTGGTGGTTAAAATTATTATGTATGCCTGAGTGTTTTTTAAAAAAAATTTTTTTAAAGAGCTAAAGGGAATAAAGAGAAATATTGTGAACTGAGGGTACATGGAAGGGATTATAATCATTGTAATGAAACAAGGTGTATGATTTGTTGAATGTAAAACTGATGACCTGTCCTGTAAACTTTCACTCAATCCACAATGAAACCTTGAAAAAAAAAAAGATACAAGAAGACCGACTGGTGAAGAAGAGACAGTATGGGTAGGAGTACAGATTGGTGCAAGATTTCTGGAAGAGAGTTTGGTAAACTGCATGCATATTTAAAATTTTTATAACCTTTGAACTAGTAATTCCCCTTGTAGGATCTACCTGGAAATTAATACCCAACTCTAAAAGTCTATATGCACAAGAAAGTTCATTACAGCCTTGTTACATTAAAATTCCAGAAAAGTTCAAAGTAACCTTAAAGACACTATTCAGAATAAGGATTTAAACCATGCAGCATCCTTTTGTTCTGTTGGAACAACTGGCTCTTGGTTTATTTATAGGTGCCACAAGAGCACCATGAAGTGTTCTGGAATTTCCTGTCTTTGCAATGTTATCCATTTGGTTATATTCTACATAGTCACATGTCTTTGCATAGTTAATAAAAGAGAAGTAAACATCTTTCTGGTATTCTCTGCTTTCGGTCAAGATTCACCTGATGCCAGCAGTGATATCCCTCGTTCCACGTCTTCTTCTGAATTCAGCTTGAATTTCTGGCAGTTTCTTGTAGGTGAATTGCTGCAATCATTTTTAAATTATCTTCAGAAAATTTTTACTTGATGTGATAATAATTATACTGTTCAAAATTTTCTGCATTCTGTTGGGCCACTTTTCCTTGGAACAGGCACAAATATAGATGTCTTCCATTCAGTTGGTCAAGTAACTATCTTCCAAATTCTTGACATAAGTGAGTGAGCCCTTCCAGCATTATATCCATTTGTTGAAATATCTCTATTGGAATCCCATCAATTTCTGTAGCCTTATTTTTCACCACCGCCTTCAGTGAAGCTTAGATTTCTTCCTTTAGTACCATCAGCCCTTGCTCATATGCTACCTCTTGAAATGGTGAAACATCAGTTATTTTGGTATAGTTGTTGTTGTTGTTGTAAAGTGCCATCAAGTCGGTTCTGAACTGTAGCGACCCTGTATAGGGTTTCCAAGGAGCAGTTGGTGAGCTTGAACTACGGACCTTGTAGTTCAAATGGCTTTGCTGTCTGACACAGTAACCCACAGAGCCACACCAAGATTCCATTTTGGTATAGTTGTTGTTGTTGTTGTTAAGTGCCATCGAGTCGGTTCCGACCCATAGCGACCCTGTATAGGGTTTCTGAGGAGCAGTTGGTGAGCTTGAACCATGGACCTTGCAGTTCAAATGGCTTTGAAGTCTGACGCATTAACCCACAGCACCATACCAGCACTCCATTTTGGTATAATAGCTCTGTGTATTTCATCTAATCTTCCCTTGATGTTTCCTGCATAGTTCATTATATTGCCCATAATCCATCAATATTGCAACAAGAGGCTAGAATTTTTTTCTGCAATTCTTTCAACTTGAGAAATGTTGAGTATGCTTTTCCCTTTCAGCTTTCAACTCTAGGTCTTTGTACATTTCATTATAATACTTTCATTTCTTTACTTTGTCTTCTTGAGCCATCTTTTGAAATCTGTTCAGTTCTATTACTACGTCATTTCTTCCTTTAACTTTAGCTACTCTACTTTCAGGATCAAGTTTCACAATCAGTCCAGTGGACTAATGGATCATGTGAATATCATTTGTCAAGATCCTGAGACCAGAAGACTAGATGGAGCCCAGCTACCAATACCAACTTCTCTAAAGGGGATTACGTTAGAAGGTCCTGAATAGAGTGGGAGAAAATGTAGAACAAATCTCAAAATCATAAGTAAAACAAAACAAAAAAAACCAGGCTTAATGGTCAGATAGAGGTCAGAGATTGGTAGCATGGTCCTTTGTCACCCTTTAGGTCTGGAACTGAACTTGTGCCCATGGCTCAATTTTCAGCCAGATTATAGACCGGTATATAGGGAGGATAACAACACTAATGAGGTACAAATATCACAGAATGGTCAACCATTCAAGATCAAAAGGGCAGCCTTTAGGTATCTAGAGACAAAATTCAGAAGGCTGGAAAAATAAGGAGGAATGCAAACAAGAAACACAGAGAGGAAGAGAGATAAGTGATATTCCCGAAGGGGATTGCAATCATTGAGACGAAACAAAATGTATGACTTGTTGAATGTAAAACTGAGGATTTCTATAAACCTTCACTCGACTCACAATAAAAAATTACAAGCAAAAGTGAAGGTGTCACAGTAGAACAACCAGAATGGAAACTAAGCAATGCCACTAAACAACTTATATAGAAAGTGTAGAATGGGAACCTAAACTGCTGTGAAAATCTTCACAGAAAACACAATTAAAAAAAAATTTTTTTTTTAAAGAGCAAGTTTCAAAGTTTCTTCTAACATCCATTTAGGTCTTTTCTTTCCTATATTCTCAATGACCTTTTGCTTTCTTTATGATGTTCTTGATATCATCCAATTCCTTTATCTGGTCTTGAAATGGTCTCTAAATTCAGGTGGGATATACTCAAGATTGTATCTTGGCTCTCATGGACTTGTTTCAATTTCCTTCTGCTTCAACTTGAACTTGAATGTGAGCAACTGATTATCTGCTCACAGTTGTCCTATTGCTTTATTCTGACTAATGATATTGAACTTCTCCCTCATCTCTTTCCACATGTTTATTCAATCTGATTCCTGTGTACTCTATCTGGCTTGGTCTGCATGTACAAATGCTGTTTATGTTGTTGGAAGCAATAAGTTACATTGTTGATCTTGCAAAATCCCACCATACAATCTTAGGTGTTATTTCTATCACCAAGGCCATATTTTCCAACTACAATACCTTCATCTTTGTTTCTAATACTCACATTCAAATCACCGTTAACTATCAATGCATTGTGATTACATGTTTGATCAACTGCAGACTGCAGAAGTTACTAAAAATCTTCAGTTTTTTTCATCTTTGGCATTAGAGGTTGGTGCATAAATTTTAGTAGCAGTCATATTACTTCCTTGTAGGCATTTAGATATTATTCTGCTATTGTACTTCAGAATAGATCTTGAAATGTTCTTTTTGATGATGAGTGAAATGCCATTCCCAGAATAACAGACCACAGGATTATTCAATTAAAAATGACCACATCAGCCCACTAATACATAGACTATTGGTTTTTATGTATTCCATCTCACTTTTGACAACTTCTAATTTTTCTAGATACCTACCTACTTCTAATTTTTCATGTCCCAATTATTAATGGACATTTGCATCTGTTTGTTCTTATGTTGAGTTGTAACACCTCAGCAAATGAAAAGCCCCAACATTTTGCTCTATCTACTGCATTGAAGTTGCTTCTACTTTGAAGAGGCAGCTCTTCCCTAGTCGTATTCTGATTGCCTTCCGACCTAAGGATCTCATGTTCTGCTACAATCAGACAGTGTTCCACTGCTATTCAAAAGTTTTTCACTGGTCAAAGTTTAAAAAAGTAGATTACCAGATCCTTATTCTTTTTTTTTTCTTAAATGTTTTATTGTGAATTATGTGATAGTTTACATGGAAGAACATTAGTTTTACATTCATTCTATCGTATATCATCTCATTGCCATGGTTACAATCCCCTCCATGCATCATCAACCAACCAAGGGGTATACCCTGCAATCCTTCCCCTGTACCCCCCAGGTCTTCAGCACACAGTTGCTCTCCCTCTCTGGATCTAAAGTCTCCAGCTGCTCCATCGCTCCACGTCATCACCTCTGCCTCCATTTCAGGCATCACCACTTCTCTGGGTAAGGTCCCACTCTCTGCTCTTCTCCCTTGATGGTCCTAGGGACCTCCACTCCTAGACTGAAAAGTTAATCACTCCCCTCCTTGCTATAAAACATCTACCTTTACATTTCCAACCCTCACAATCAGTCCTGATAACAATTATTCAATATTGTATCACAAGAGACCCATCTACATTTCCTTGCATCAGCCCCGCCTAGACAGATTAAATACTACTCACCGGAGATTCTACCTTCCTCCAGGCCCTCTGGATCTAAGTTCCCTCTTGAAAGCTTGTAAGTCAGTCACTTCTTGCCTTTGTAGCCCCCCGCCCAGATCCTTATTCTTAATCTGTCATAATCTAGAACTTCTGCTAAAACTTGTCCACCATAAGTGATTCTGCTGATAGTTGAAATACCAGTGTTGTAGCATCTAGCATTAAAGCAACATGCAAACCACTGCAGTACCACAAGCTGACTCCAACTTAATTAATATATTCACTCACAATCTCTAGGGGTGGATTCTGGGAATCTACATGGTTTGTAAGCATTGTGAAGTTTGTGTTATACATAGCTCTGAGAACCACTGCTTAGAAGAAGAGAAAGTTAGCATGTTCATCCATATGTTACTTATATTTATTCATACTTCCCCTTCTTCTCTCCCCACTTATTTCCCCACCCTTTGCATAACCTGAAATTGAGATGTGCCAGTCCTGGATAATGCACTGAACCTGAAGGTAGGTTTGAACAGCAAGGCCCATGGTTCAAACTCACCAGCCGCTCCTTGGGAAACCCCACACAGGGTCGCTGGGAGTCAGAACCAACTCGATGGCACTTAATAACAAGAGGCACTGAATATTAGGTATTTGGTTGTTGTTAAGGATTAAAATAGCTAGAGAAATGCACAGAATGGCTGATATTCATAGCAACCACCATTCATTTTGTCTCAAATTCTGTCTCATCTTACCTTGTCCTTGGATTTTTGATGAAGCCAGTGTTTATGAAGTTGGGGCAGAGACATGTTGTTTTGACGCCAGTTCTTCTTAGGGCAGCCAGTTCTTCAGTTAGAGCTCTATGAAATCCAACAGCAGCAAACTTACTTGAACTGAAAATAAAAAGGAGAGGTCATAAAGTAACTCAGGAATGCTGGTGCATCTCTTTAATTGAGACACTTCTGTTAATAAAGTATGGTCCTCCGATGAGCAACATGGACATCTCTTGAATCGTGGGTTTCAGCTCAAACTCACTGAATCTGTATTTCACCAGATCTTTGGGTAAACTATTGTTGTTGTTAAGTGGCATTGAGTCAGTTCTGACTCATCACAACCCTGTATAGGGTTTTCGAGGAGCAGCTGGTGGGTTTGAACTGGTGACCTTTTGGTTAGTGGTCCAGTACTTATCCTACAGCACCGCCAAACCAGGCCTCTGGGTAAACTGTAGGCACACTGAAGTCCTAAGAAACACTGACCTGGACCATCTAGTACATCACAGTATCATTCATTACAAAGAGCTCAGGATGTCAGCTGTTAGGAAAATGGGCATGTTGTTGATTTCTGTTGTTTTCGTACAATTTCATATCAAGATAGCACATTTGTTATTTATTACAAAGTTCATTCCGACTCATAGGGAACCTATACATCAAAGTAGAACTGGCTCCTTAACAGAGCCTAGAAATCTTTACCAGTCTCAACTTTCTCCCTCAGAGTAGTTAGTGGGTTTGAATGGCCAACCAAATGGTTAACAGTGCTTAACAATCAGTGCCACCAAGGTTCCTTGGTATACCATGCATGGATTAAGAAATTATGTGACATATATGTATTTATTTTAAAAAGCAAGATGATGTATGCAGATTTTTCAATGTATAACTTTCTATTTGCATTAAAAATGTCTTTAGTTTTTTAATTTTAAGATAGCTATATATATATCCTAAGGAGCTCTGGTAGCGTAGTGGTTACGAATTGGGCTGCGAACCTCAGGGTCAGCAGTTTGAAATTACCAGCTGTTCCATGGGAGAAAGATGAAGGTTTCTGCTCCCGTAAAGATTTACAGCCTCAGAAACCATGTACAGCGTCACTATGGGTCGGAACCGACTCCACGGCACATTACAACAATATATTTACTAGAGTCTTTGTGTGGCTCTGTGGGTTAATGTGCTAGACTGCAAAGCCATTTGAACTGCAAGGTCGGCAGTTTAAGCTCACCAGTTGCTCCTCGGAAACCCTATACAGGGTCGCTATGGGTCGGAACCGGTTTGACGGCACTTCACAACAATAACATATTATATATATATATATATAAAGGAGCTCTGGTAGCATAGTGGTTATAAATCAGGTTGCTAATCTCAAGGTCAGCAGTTTGAAACTACCAGCTGTTCTGCAGGAGAAAGATGAAGCTTTCTGCTCCCGTAAAGATTTATGGCCTTGGAAATCCTGTATAGGGTCTCAATGAGTCGGAACTGACTCCAAGGCACATAACAACAACAAATATATATACTGGTGTGGTGCTGTGGGCTAATGCTTCTGACTGCAAAGTCGTTTGAACTACAAGGTCGGTGGTTGAAGCTCACCAGCTGCTCCTTGGAAATCCTATACATGGATGCTATGGGTCGGAATCGACTTGACGGCACATAACAACAACATCATATATATACACATATATGGAGCCCTGGTGTGGTGCTGTGGGTTAATGCGCCAGACTGTAAAGCCGTTTGAACTACAAGGTTGGCGGTTCAAGCTCCCCAGCTGCCCCTCGGAAACCTATACAGGGTCACTATGGGTCGGAATCAACTCTACGGCACTTAACAACATATATATACACATAGTATACATATATGAAGGAACCCTGGTGGTAAAAGGTTAACCTCTCAGCTAATCCAAAGATCTGTGGTTTGAACCTACCTAGAAGTGCCTTGGCATGGTGTTGTACAATCAGCACCAGATTTGAACCACAAGGCCATCAGTTCAAACCCACCAGGTGCTCCTTAGAAAGCATCTATAGGGTAACTATGAATTGGAACTGACTCGATGGCACTTAACAACAACAACAACAAGCAGTTTCATGGGAAAATAGTCTAGAAAACCCTATGGGCAGTTCTACTCTGTCACATGGGGTCACTTCTGAGTCAAAACAGACTTGCTGGCTACTAACAACATCCATATACATACAAAAGGGGCTCTAAGGCAGAGGATATGCCTGTGGTTATAATCCCATTTGGGAATGGGTTGTATTTGTCATGTTAATAAGACAGAATTAGTATAGTGTGTATTTTGAGTCAATCTCTTTCAAAATAAGAAAAATTAAGCAAGCAAGCAAAGATGGGGAAAGATTGATACCAACCTACATGGAACCAGGCAATAAGAAAGGGCTTTTTTTCCTCAGAGGCAACAGAAAGACAAAATCCTCCATGGAGCTGGTACGAGTCTTGGTATGGCACCGTGGGATAGGTGCTGAACCAGAGGTCGGTTTGAACCACAAGGTCAATGATTCAAACCCATCAGCTGCTCCTAAGGAACTCTACACAGAGATGCTGAGTTGGAACCAATTCAAGGGCTCTTAACAACAGAGCTGGTCCCTTGAATTCAGACTTGTAATCTCTTAAACTGAGCCAATTAATTTTTGTTAAAGCCACCTACTGTGGTATTTCTTTTAGCAGCACTAGATAACTAAGACACCAAGAGAGGCATCCTCCTTTTACTGAATACTTGCAGGATTCCAGATTCTATGCTAATATTGTATGTTATATAATTCAAACCTTACAACATCCTGATGAGTTCAATATGATTATCATTCCATTTTATGAATGAGGAAATTAAAGCAGAGAGAAATTGAATAACTTGCCTAAATCACAACACGAGTGAGTCAAGATTTCTAACAACTCTGTCCTAGAAACCAAATATTCAGAAATAAACCAAATAATTGTGTAATCACATAATGCAATATTGTGAGGTCATAAAAGTGATACAGTACATGAAGATAAAAAATTAGGACATTTATCAGTTGTGGGAAAAAATATATATTTATTATAATCCTGTTTATTATATTTGGGTAACCTTATTTTTTTAATTACCTGAAGTAAAGACTTTATGATCTCTCTCTTTTTCTTTGGTTACTTCCTGAAGCGAGTAAAGAATTTATGACTGCTCTCTTTTTCTTTTAACTACTTCCTGGAGTAAAGAATTTATGATCGCTCTCATTTTGTTTTCCTAAAGTTGGAATGTGAGCCTTAAAAATGTGAACTAGCCAACCAGGTAAGGGAAAAGCTTTTGCGGTCAAAACCCTAGCCAATGGGGTGTGACACAGCCTTGAGACTCGCATCAGGGATTAAGAACCCGCTGGTCTGTTCCTGTATGTACGGCTATGTGCACGCACCCTCTTACAGGAATAAATTTTGCTTTGCCAAGGTAATTTAGTCTCACCGGGTGTCTTTTATGCAACATCGGGATTCACTTCTAACACAGTGATGTTACAAGTGAAAATAGCAGTTACCTTTGGGAGGAAAGAGAAGGTGGTACTTGGAGTTAAGTTCCAAATGGGGTTTCTAGGAATCTATGATGCTCCTTTTTATATTATTTTTTTAAATCTGCATAGTGGTTAAATGGGTGTTTCCACTTTTCAGTAACTCACTGAATTGTATGATTATGATTTATTCATTTTTATAAATTATGTACTACTTCATTAAAAGTTTATTTTTAAAAAGCAGTGATTCACTTTAATGATTGAATTTTTAATGACAGTAACTAGTAAACCTTGCATTTTGCTATGAGTCTTTAGCGTGTCTCTGCAAAAGTTCTACCACTGATCACACACTAAAAACAACAACAAAAAACCTCACAGTCAACTGCAAAGTTGTAGTCCGTAAGGATTATAGGCTCTAAATAGGTATTCTGCAAGGGCAAACACACATAGATCAATCCCAAAGCTGGAAGACTACAAGTGCTTAGGTGTCTGCAGTGCTGACATGCCTATTAGTTCGAACGGTACATCTGAGTGAATTATACAAGCTACCTATTCTAAAGGAGCCCTGGTAGTATAGTGGGTAATGAGTTGGGCTGCTACAGGTCATTCAACAGGAGACTTTGGTGGTGGTGGTGTGCTGTGGATTCGATTCGAAACTGTTGACCTTGTGGTTAGCAGTGCAACATATAACCCACTATACTACCAGTGTGCCTTAAAGATCTACAGCCTTGGAAACCCTATATAGAGTTGCTACGAGGCAGAACCGACTCGATGACGCACAACCACCACCACCCATCTTAATGCAGAGTCCTTGAGTGGTGCAAACAGTTACATGCTTGACTACTAAACAAAAGCTGGGTGATTCTAACTGACCCAGTGACACCTCAGAAGAAAGGTCTGGCAATCTGCTTCTGAAAGGTCACAGAAGCAACTCCAAGGCAACAGATTTTGGCTTTTGATTCTCAAGGTACTTTATTACCATCTACTGCAAAAATCATTCAAACATAAGAGAACTTGCCTACAAAGACTTGTACCCTAGAACTGCATAGTGTACAAATGCCACAACTGTATGTGTTACTCCTGAGTGGACAGTATTTGATGAAAACCTTCACTTCTGCTTGAAAGCATCATCCCTAGGCATCAAAATAAACTTGTACTTCACACAAAGTAGACTGGACCACTTGCTTGGTTTTGCTGATAAGCTAAATGGAGTTTAATCAAATCAAAAGCAAAAGAGAGACTGTATTTATTACAGCAAGCCAAAATCTATTGTCATTGATTTTGATTTGCTGTAATAAATATGTTCTGACTCACAGTGACCCTGAAGGCCCATAGGACAGAGTAGAACTGCCCTCAAAGGGGTTCCAAGGCTGTAAATCCTATGGAGAAGCTGGTGGGTTCAAACCAACAACCTTTCAGTTAGCAGCCAAGTATTTAACTCCTGTAGTAAAAGCCCTGTTGGATTCTTTGATCCTTTTTATTTTCAACAACGCCAGATAAAGAAGGGATAAAATAATGGGAGTTGAGTCTTGTAGTCCAGCTGTAGTATCTCTAACTATCTTTGATCGAGTTAGTGGAAACAATGCCAATTGTATTAGCCCTCAATGGCACACCGCTAATTTAAACTCAATGAGAAAATGTCCAAGTCTGTTCTATGACTGCTTTACCAATTATTTCATCTTTTTTTTGAAAAGTCAACCCAAGTCTATATTGCTTTATAACCTTTTAACCAGTAAACAAATATATGTTCAAAGGAAAAAACAAAAACAAAAAAACTATAGATGAACAAAACCAAGAAAACCCAATCAACTACCATCGAGTCAATTTTGACTCATAGAACTCTGTATAGGGTTTCCGAGTCTGTAAATCTTTACATGAATAGAGAGCCTCATCTTTCTTCCACAGAGTGGCTGGCACGTTTGAACAGATGACCTTTTGTTTAGTAGTCTTGTGCTTATTCCATAGCACCAAAATAAAATAAGAAAGAACAATAACAACAACAAAATCACTGGTCTTTCTAATCACCTAAGAATAAACAGTTTCGGATATGTCTTTGCCACTATTAAAATTCAAGATATATCTTATATAAAAACAACTTTTCCATTCATGCCTACATATACATATTTACCATATATCCACAGCTACTTATAACTAGATATCATATAAAAAAGTCATGATTCTAGAATTTAAATAATTCTGAAAGAGCACAATGATTAAAAACATTAGCATTACATATATTTGAATATATATTGCACACTTGTAATTCAACATTTTGGAGTCCTGGTGTGGCACTATTGGATAAGCATTGGACTGCTAATCACAAAATGGATGGATCAAACTCACTAGCCACTCTTCAGAAACCCTTTACGGGTCATATGAGTCAGAATTGTCTTGATGGCACTTAACAACAATTTAACATTTTAAAAGATATTGTTTGCTAGCAAAAAGAAAGAGCCAAGAGCTGTTCTTGGTGTATATCACCAGCATGATCATTATATCATGGCCTTAACTGCCTCACTGACCTCACTTGGTGGCCTTACTGGCCAATCTTTCACAGCCCAGTAGAGCCCATGCCCTGTCTGACACAGCAGACAATGCAGTTATAGCTATGCATGCTTTTTTAAAATGGATAACCTATGTTTTTTTTTCCCTTCAATTGAATCGTTTGAATGCTTTTAGCATTCAGAATCCCACATACTGCTGATTCTTTTTCTCTTTTCAAATGCTTTCTTTATTTCCACAAACTCTCATCAATTACTTTATTAAAAAAAATTACTATTAATTTGATTCATGGTGAAAATATTGTTCTTCTTTTGTAATTCCTTGATGTTAAAAGGGATGAGAAATTATTTCAGTAGTTGGCTTTGGAACTGAATAACTTCCCTGGAGCTATTCCTAGAAAGGCATTGTAGTTAGAACCTAGAAAGGGATTTACTGATAATGCTGTCTTATGTACAAGCAACTTTGTGCAATTTTTTCTGACTATTTCAGCAACTTCAAGTCCAATTCCATTAAAGGTAGTCCTCAATAGACCGAGAAAGAAAGCACACACACACACACACAGCATAAGAACCAATGAAGGAAACATGTGTTTACATACCAATAAGCCATCAAGTAGGGGACCACAGTATGACCAGCTGCCGAAGCCACTGTGACAATATGACCATGATTATTCTTCATCATTGCAGGAAGAAACGTCTTTGTAGTCTAGAAATAGTTTTTACCAAAATATTAAAAACAAAGAAGAAGACACAACTATTATTTCTGATTCACAGATCAACTGATAATATTTGAAACAAAGATTTATTTTTGGTAATGTTGTTCATGGTATATATGAAAAACCTAAGTTAACTGACAACATGTAGCAACATATGGCAACTGGATAAGATGCCTAGTTAGAACAACTAATATGGAAATAAATATGGAAAGCTTTGAGAATTCTTATCATTTAAATTGAGTTCATGTCCCCAGCTCCTGCTCATCTTGTCACTGATGTAATTTATCATCTCATGTACTAAACAGGAATAATAATGACCTAGAATGATCAAAATAATTTACATGTAATGTGAAATTATCCAGCAATTATCTGATTATGTCATCAAAATACTAATGTGATCAGCAGTCTTCCAGTGGTTACTGAGTGCAGAATTTACTGAACATCAACTATATGCTGGGGGATGCAGGAAAAAATCAGACAAGGTTCCTATTCTTAAATATCCAATATTTTTCAGAAACTTAAAGGGAAAATGTCATAAAAGTACAAAGAAGATGACATTGACATAGAATGTTAACATAAAACTATATTTTCACCAACTCAAATATTCTTTTTAGATTGTTCACCTTAAACTCATATCCTAGAAAGCTCTGAGGCTCCTTTTAGGAACTGGTCTTTGGAGAAATATTCTGCCTCTTCAGAAACACACACACACACACACACACACACACACACACATAATTTAAGAATTTGAATGGTAAGGTCTATAACAAAGTCTACAATTTGGGGATCAGGAAATAACATGAATGAAGTTCTCATGAGAATATGAAAGCAAACTGTGTTCACCTTGTATAGAAACACATATGACTCACATGATTCCTAACTTTTCCATTATCTTGAAACAGAGATGTGAGAACCAAGCTTAGAATTAAAATACACAGAGCAGATGAAGTATGTTATTGTTGTTGTTATTTTCAAGAAGGGAAAGAACAAAGGAATTAATTGATAGGATTAAAACTCCTCCAAAAATGATCACTTGGTATAATGCTATCCCTGGCACCTGAAAAAAAATGTTAGTATTGCTATGATACTTTTTTATATATGCTGAAAGTGTCATTTTAAAAACAATTGTCAGGTTATTCAAAAGGGAATGTCTGGTAAAGGAATTTATACTTACCCAAAAATGAGCAAGTACATTGACTTCAAAAGTCTTTTCAATATGAAGGTCCTCTGTGGCCATCAAATCTGATGTGAAGACTACACCAGCATTATTTATTAAGATACTCACATCTCCAACCTCTGTCTTTACCTTTAAAAATAAGAAATACACATATCATGAAGAAGTATGAAGATAGATCTATATGCAATGGTTATTAAAGGAGTAGAAGCTTGCCTACTTGATATAGAATATGTGTAGTTTTTTTTTTAACACACCTATCACACAAGAAGAAATTAATCAGGTAATTAAAAAACTCCAAACAAAAAAAAAGTCTGGGTGCAGATGGCTTTACTAGTGAATTCTACCATACATTCATAGAAGAGCTGAGATCAATTTTACTCAAACTATTCCACAATGTAGAAAATGATGGAAAACTCCTGAATACATTTTATGAAATGAGCATCACCCTCATACGAAAACCAAGCAAAAATATCACTAAGCAAGAAAATTATAGACCAATATCCCTCATGAACATAGATGAAATATTCTCAACAAAATTCTAGCCAATAGAATTCGACAACATATCAAAAAAATAAAATACATCATTACCACATGAGATTCATAACACAGATGCAAGGACGGTCAATTTTAGAAAAATAATCAATGTAATATACCATACAAATATAACAAAAGGAAAAAAACCATGACCATATCGATTGATGCAGAAGAGGTATTTGAAAAAATTCAACATCTACTCCTAATAAAAACACTCAACAAAGTGGGAATTGAAGGGACATTCCTCAACATAATTAAGAGCACATATACAAATCCAACAGTCAACATCACTCTCAATGGAGAGAGCTTAAGGTTTGCAACCTGATTCGTAGCTACCAGAGATCCTTATTTCTTTATTTTGATCCCTGTATTTTCATGGTATGGAGTTCTGGTGTGGCACTGTGGGTTAATGTGCTAGACTGCAAAGTCATTTTGAACCAAAAGGTCAGTGGTTCAAGCTCACCAGATGTTCCTTGGAAACCCTATACAGGGACACTATGAGTTGGAACCAACTCGAAGGCACTTAACCACAACAGCAACATTTTCATGGTAACTCCATTCTATTGCTAACCGGTTGGGGGTGAAAAGTGTAGTCTGGTCAACCTGGAATTGAATCCTGGCTCTGCCACTCATTCATGAGCCTGAACAAGCTACTTAATCTCTTAAAACTTAGATTTCTCTCCTGGAAAAATAGAAATAATAATACAACTTCCTTGTGATTTATAGGAACAACAACAACAACAAAAACACAGTTGTTTTTGTTACCTGTGAGAGTTGCAATGATCTTTGAATTTGACCCTAAAACTTGCATAAGCTCTTTCATGGCAACAGTGGTGGTTGTGTGCCACGGAGTCGGTTCCGACTCATAGCGACCCTGCATGGGGTTTTTGAGGCTGTAAACCTTTATAAAAGCAGAAAGCCTCATCTTTCTCCTGAGGTTCAGCTGGTAGTTTCTAAGTTCTGACCTTGATGCTAGCAGCTTGACTCATAACCACTACACTACCAGAGCTCCAAGCTCTTCCATGTTGTTGTTGTTGTTGTTAAGTGCCATCGAGTCGGGTCCGACCCATAGCGACCCTGTACAGGGTTTCCGAGGGTGTAAATCTTTACGGGAGTAGAAAGCCTCATCTTTCTCCTGAGGTTCAGCTGGTAGTTTCTAAGTTCTGACCTTGATGCTAGCAGCTTGACTCATAACCACTACACTACCAGAGCTCCAAGCTCTTCCATAGAGCATTTTAATCTCTCAAATGGTCTTCCTTCTGAATAAATACTAAAGTAGCTATCATTCTCATGGGGAAAAGACATACACATACCACACTTATATACTACAGAAGCACACATAGGCATTTTTATATTGTTGTCGAGTGCTATTGAGTCGGTTCCAAATCATAGGGACCCTGTTTAGGGATTCCAAGGAGTATTCAGTGGGTTTGAACTGCTGGCCATGTGGTTCGCAGTCCAGTGCTGATCCTACAGTGTTACATAGTAAACTACTATTATTATATATTATTGCTGTTGTTGTTAAGTGCCATCAGTTGGTTCTGACTCA